TACAATATATGGGATTCTTATAAATTAGATTGACATAAATGGTTCAAAAAATCAATAATGACATTTAACTTTATGTATAGATGTTTCATATTTAAATATGCACAATTTCTTTGGACAATGACCAGTATTTTGATATATCAATACCACAATGTTGCATCCAAACATAACATTCTCTTCTTTGCACAAGCTAATATGGTCACTTTATGGATTATTACATTAAAACTTTACCAGTCACCAGTAATGACAACATTTTTTGGCTTGATAATGTAAAATCCTTACCAATAATTATTTGTCAGACAATCAATAAAAGTGTCACCAAATAACTGTAACAAAAGGAAGAATATGATTATCTCCTAGACTTCTTTAAAAACAGAATAATACATAGGACCATTTTTTCAATGAAAGTCACCGTCATCTGTTTTGGTGTTGCTGCTTGTGCCCATGCTAGGCCAGCCGCAAGGGATACGAATGGCTCTACTGCTACAAAACAGCATCACCATAGTTTTTTTTTCTATATTGACAGCATTCAGACAACATCTCCATAACCAAACTCTATTATCATATATGGCAGATTACTGAATTGCTAAGTCTATAAAATATCTTAAAATATTTTCATACCATTTCTTTAAAAATTGTTATAATCTGTGTTATATGTTTTCAATTGCAATTATTTTTTATAAAACTTAGCTGTGTTTTGCTAAACCTTGTATTTTGTTGTTTTTTTTTTTGGCCTAAGTGTGCACACCCTCATGGGAATTGCTTTACTATATATATTTTCCTTATATGTCATACTTTTGAAGCATACATCCCAGACTTTAAGCAGGTTACATCTGTATATTCAGAATTCAAACAGTGTAACCATTTCCTCTTAAATATTGTAATCTTTATCATCTTAATTGTAATGCCTTTCTCTGCCAAAAATGACCTAACCTGGCCTCAGTTTTAATCCCACTCAAAAACTAGTCCCAGGAAGATTCATTATATAGTTCAGAAGCTGTCTCTCTTCTTTGATCAATTGGTTGCCAAAATAAACAGTATCCAGCATAAGTCTAGACAGAAATGAATATCATCAACAGCCTCTGATAACTCTTATATTGGTCTGAAGAGAATAGTTTGACAAATTTCCTCATTAATTCAGTGATTTCATGCACAACAATCTGTGGAGAAAATTTAAAGTGGACCACATACTTCTGATGAAAATTCTACTGCATCACAAACAGAAACTTCAGTTTGTTAAACAACATTGACAAAGTAATTAATCACAATATTCCACCCAATTATAAGGCAATATTGATCAATTTTGATACATTTCTGAAATTCTTTCATTAGAATGACTAGAACAAATTGGACAAGACCACACACCACAGCTTCAAGAATATTCCTAGCAAGTTCACAAATTAAGTACTGACTGCAAACGGGTTATTGATTCTGAGCAATGTATGGACATGGAACTGGAGCAAAAGCAATTGCAGGTATCAAATAACTTGAACAGTTGTTTAAACAAAGTAATAAATAACTTCAATTTCACTAGAAATTAAAAATCGATGGGACATTTAAGCCACTGCTCTTGAATAGTGAAATGTAATCCATAATTAAGAAAAAAAGAGAAAAATTATCTAATTTATCTTGCACTACAGTCACTGAAAAATTCAAAATTACATTCAAAAGCTACATTTAGTCATACACACACGCACACACAACACACACACAAACTTCATTCAAAGGAATCACATCAAAAAACTTACAAATGGGTCTACTTTCAATAGATCTACATCACAAAACATTATAAATGAGTTAATAGCAAAATGTTGACTTATTTTGGCATTTCAGTCTCTCTAAAAAACATTTATAAATATATTATCAATGGGCCCATACTTGACAACTTATATACAAGTAATTGATTGACAGCTAAAAAGTCATGACATAACAACAGACAGGGGACTATACAAATTGGCTCAAAGCACTCACAATTACAGTAAATAAGCTATAGTGGTGACCTTCTGAACTTCACTGTAGACAACAAAATATTACTATTTACTACCATGGGACATTTTATGTCACAATCTTAACACTGAAATCATAACTATTATCCACTATCAATAATGACAATGTACTTTTACATTTGATGTTACTGAGGTGGAAAGAAATTATGAAACATAATGAAGAATGTGTAATTTTACTTTTCAATGTAATGCAAAGTTCATAAATCTTTAGTTCAAGCTCACTGTCAATAAAAGTCCTTTTCACAATTTGACACCTTCATGTGTTTATGCAAACATCATTTCCATTTGTATTGTAGTGTATTATAGTGTATACTCTAGTCCATGTTTATGGCAGCACATGCCACATTCCAGAAGAAAAAGCAAAGGTCCCCAAGAAACGTGTAATCTTCCTTGGTTGTTTAATTTCTATGGCTGCAGTTCAGTTTCTTGACACATAAAACCAACTTAATGCCATTCTGGTTGTCAGTAATGAAATCTTGCAGTTAGCAAGCAACAAATACTAAATTTGGTACAAAATACCAATAACTGACTGCTGCAACACCTGCCTTAAAAGGTAGAGGCTTTTCTGTCATTAAACTTGACTCAACATTTTGAATAAATCTTACATGAAATTAAAACTGCTGCATTTAGATCAGTGAGAATATTTTTAAAAAAATTTTGGAGCCAAATCAAATTGTTTTGATAGAGAAACCAGATCCATCCGTCATAAAAGTAATCAATATTTTTAGATCCATAATAAAATTTTACTCCAGAATTTAAATCCTCCTACTCTAAGGTACAATATGCAACCTTTTTATTTGACAATCAGATTTCTATTTTTTTATTAGGAAATGGAGGTGAAACAAGTAAAATCGAGCTTAACTTTGATTCCAACAATACCAGTTACTAGAACATTTCAAAATTAAAGTAGACAAAACTTAAGTCTTTAAGCTTAATCATACAAGTCAACAAACAAAAGTCTTGGTCTGAAACTTTCAAACTGTTGATGGAATTGAAAATTCCCATTCCAAGATAGCCATGTTTACTACCCAGTAAAACATTCCACTCATATCAAGCATTTACCTTTTGGAAACTTTACCACTTTTTAAAAGTTTTTGGTTTACAGCAAACTTTTAATGAAAAGGCAGTATAGTTATAACAGTCTGAATTTGTCAGTGTTATAAAGTAAAATTAGCAAGGTGTCTGACCACCCATAAATCATGGCTGCTGTATAATTGTCAAAAGTTTTAAAGTTCTGTTCTTGTTCTTATTTGAAGAATCAATCAGATCCTAACCTAAAAGTGAACAATGATCTGTTTTCATATTTAATTAATAATGCTTGACTGACAGTAATTATGGTAAGTGGAACTTGCCAACTTGTCTACTGGTGCTTAGTATATTCACATAATGTGGAGATTAGGTGACAAATCCACATATAATTTGTTTTTGCACAGAAGTACTCTTATTTCTTTCTCCATACAGTGCAGAAGTTAACCACTTAAAAAGTACTGAAACAGGCTACTGTATATATTCACTTATATGTTGAGTCCAACTGCAAATAGACTGATGTGTCAGTACATATTGTATCAGCATATAAATAGTCTATGTTACTTGTTCTACTGATAACTCCTAACAAAATGCAGAGACTCAGGTCTACTAGTTCATAAAGCAATGGCAGATCTGGGTCTGTGTACCTGGCAGCTAAATTTCATCTTATAAATGAGTTTATACAGTGTCTAATAGGAATTAAACTTGTGAAGTTTCCATTCTGGTAAATGGCACTTTTAATATATTATTGGTTCTATCATGTTGAGGAAATGGGAGCTAAGTGCCTTTCCCAAAGATAGACCAAGGCAGCCAACCTTGGAATGGGTTGGTCAAATTTGGTTCCAAACCAGTGACCAATTGAACTACTGTGACACCCAATATCAATAGGCAAGAATTGTAAATCTTGATCAGCATGTGTGTGTGTGTGTGTGTGTGTGTGTTCAATATAGTAAGTTATTATTTTAAAAACAAGGCAGATAAAGTGGTCAATGTTTATGTCTTTTTCTTTTCTTTATAAAACATCTATCCAGTTCAGATTTCTTCATGGCTGCATATAAATACACTTCCCATTAGGAGATGTGAAATGTTAACGATTTTCCACACAAGACTGCAGGGAACCTAGAAGTTCCAAAATTGTCTGGGATCATATGTTGAGAAACAAAGTTTATATTTGTATTACTTTATGCTGGCACAATAATCATTGGTTATTCTATTATTACCTGTTAAATCTCAAAGTCACCAGATGAAAGGGCCAAATTGTTTCCAATCTATTCATATTACATGTGGTATTAATTCCTTTACTGTGTATTGACCTCACTCTCTCAGCAATCTCCAGGTAGTAGTTGGCAATTACACACTTGATTAATGCTGAATAAATATATTGCTATCACCTTAATTTTCCCATCACACACAAATAACCATTATAACTAATCAATCTCTTTACAGCCCCTGACTCTAACATTTCAATGTTCCTAAAAATAGTGACCACAGGAAATAAAATCAATTAAAAAACTGGTTCCAACACACACACCACAAACTGCAATGGAATGCCAAAAGGCAATAAATTTCTTTGCTTTATTTATAATTTACTTATTATCTGACTCTTTTGCAAACCCAAGATGTATAAAAAATATGAAGAAATTCAATATAAAAAGAATTTATTCTACCTGAATAAGACTTATTTGCTCACACTTTATCAAAATAATAAATTAAAATCTTAGTTTATACCACCAAAAATGTCAGGTTCTAAAGAATTAATATTACCAATGTGAAGTATCCATGGACAATACAGCCCCTATTAACACGAACAATATCTATACTTTTGAACTAAACCATCAGTGACTGTCCATGTCTTGTAGGTAAGGCTAAGGCAGTGTCTCACATTTGTTTGAGAAAATAATTCCAGTACTTAAACTGCATGACAAAATAATTTTCCTCTGATCTGAAAAGGAAAAGTACTAATTCTAAAAGTATTCTGGTGGCCTAGTGGTGAGAGTGCCCACCTCAGATGAGGGAGGTCTTGGGTTTGATCCCCAGTCGAGTCATACCAAAGACTTACAAAAATGGTACTATAACAGCTGCCTTACTTGACGATCAGCATTAAGAGGTTAGTGTTAGGACTGGTTGGCCTGGTGTCAGGATAATGTGACTGGGTGGGATGTCATGCTACATGTCTTCGACATAATGCCCCAGTGCTAGACATCACTATAAAATGCCACACTGCAGACATCATAGCAATATGACTGAAAAATTTATTAAAGCTTCGTTAAAAATCTAAATCACAAATCACCAATTCTATCCACTATATTAAGTTGGAAAATAAAATTTTCTCAAGTCAGAAAACAAAAAAGTATCCTGGTTGGTAAGAAAATCTCAAGAAACCCAGATTAGATGGTCAGTCCCAAAGTCATTGTATTTATGAAATTAGCGAAATATTTATGTAGAGATTTTACATGTTGGGATCTCTAATTTACAAGTGAGGTTGTATAGAAGTCTTTGGAAATTTGGGTTAAACTTATGGCTTCTTAAGACTTCTATAGAAGTGTACCAGGGTTTGACAGCACTCAATCAAGCATATATCTCTCTCTCTCTCTCTCTCTCTCTCTCTCTCTCTCTCTCTCTCTCTCTCTCTCTCTCTCTCTCTCTCTCTCTCTCTCTCTCTCTCTCTCTCTCTCTCTCTCTCTCTCTCTCTCTCTCTCACACACACACACACACACACACACACACACACACACAGAGGCATTCTCATGGTTCACCTTCCAAATCATGTACTTTATATATTTGCTAATTCAAGGTATCTCCTAAAGGCATCGCTGATTGGAAGTTTTAAAGTTTTTTTTCAATGTCAACTTCTGTGTAAAACATCCTGAATAAAAGACAAAATGAGTAAGAATATTGCAGTCTAATGCAGCTCTAAATAAATGTTTTTTTAATTTATAAATACAAGTTGATCCATTAGAATATCCTGAGCATTTTGGCTATTCTTAAAACCTTTAAATTTGGGAAAACAATATAGATTGATACCTTGTGTTTATATTTTGTGTGTTGATTTAATAAGACTTTGTTTACAACAGAACTATTGATACAAATATAAATTCATGATATGTTAAGCAAAGTCATCAAATCACAAGCTGAAGCGAGTATATACATTTAAATGAACATTGAATACATTCAACAGTTTATAATTGTATGCATTTAAAGTTGCAGATCTTAAGATCACAATAATGAAAAACAGTGCTGTAATTGTGTTTCATTTTGGGACTGATCATCTTGATCATAAATGTTTGACGTCTATAAATATATTTAACTTTGTATATATTTACTGAAGTTCAGTTTGTGTAACTACTAAATTCAGTTAGTGATAATTCAATCTCACTTTAGCGTTTTTTTTTTTCTTCACTTGATTCATATCTGTTCTCTTCTGTTTGAATACTAAGTAGGCAAATGATGAAATAGGGACAGATATAGCTTATTTAATAATCATAAAATAAATTTTGCATATCAAGGATGTCTTTTTAATATCTTTGTGTGCGTAAAATCTTGCTGTAAACATGAAGTTTTAACTTTACAGATGAGTCGGATAATTAAGCAATTTCGGTACTACTCTACAATGAATTTATGCATATTTCCAATAGCATTTTGATGTACTTCCTTCGCATATGTCATAGATTTATTTGCATGTATTGGACATTATGGCATGAATGTATCATCAGTTTCCCAACACTATTGTCTCACATGAATGAAATATTTTTAAAAAACTACCAGGGACTGTTATATGCACCAGCTTTTATTCTTATAGTTTAGCTAAATAGTTGGTATTTGATGCTTAGCTCTAAAGGGAGATAATATATTTTTGCGATGTGTAATTTGATATCGCTCTACAAATTTTGCACCGGGCAATCAAGGACATGGCTTCAGGTGTGTGTATCTCAGCTTTGGAAGAAAGATGCACTCCAGAATTGCTAACAAGTACCAAGCATGTAAATAGGGACCTTCCTACAAATCACAATGTTACGTTATTCTAGGCTAATATAGTTGGTAGAAGCAAGATTTTGCCATTTTACCATCCAAGGATGTCCTAGGTTAGAGGTGTGTCCTCAGTATGTTGGTGTGTAATCTCATGAATGTCCTCAGTTTACACAAAAATACAAATGCATGCACGCATGCACACATACACATGCACAAACAAATAAGCCCACTATCCAGGATATGCATAAAGCTTGAAAATTTGCTCTTGAAGGTGCTAATGGAGAAAATCCTACACAGAACAGAACAAGTTTAACAGTGGTAAAGTGTCACTATTTACAGAAGAAAAAGTCTACCAATTATTTGATGCCACTGTAACCCACATAAAAACTAGAACAATTCATGATTAAGGATCTGGATCTATTCAGTTTGCTAGGACTAGTGATCAGCTGAATAAAGGACACAGATTTTAAAGTGCACTGATTGCAGCTGAACCTGAATTAATGGTATAAGCTGGTATATATAGTATTTTTTTCAAAATGTCATTCATATACATGTACTATCAAATCACAGAAATGTACCTACCACTTTAAGTTCCCACAAGAAGGTATGTTCAAGATCCCTGATTCACACAAATGCAGCATTCCAACAATAAAGTATAGTCTAAATCCATGTTTCCTATAGACAGCAATACATCAGTATGGGCTATACCCTTGTATCTTTTAAGTCAAACCTTAAGAATGCCTGAAACTAATTCTTTTACCCTGCTTTTAGATTCTGAAATGATATAGTCACATACTCAAAATTCTTAACTCTGCAATAATATATCTTTATATTTTTAGAACTTAAGTTTTAACCAGTACTCAAAAGTCAGTATATGGTGATGATGTCTCTCTCTCTCTCTCTCTCTCTCTCTCTCTCTCTCTCTCTCTCTCACACACACACACACACACACACACACACACAAACAAACATGGTTCTGTGTTGGTTCTAAAATAACAATGGCAAAATTATATAGGGTCAATATTAACATGCACATGTTTCTAGCCAAACTTTTGAGTTATTACTGTAATCTAGCAGCAAAATGCAAAATTATATTGATGCAAAGGTATTATTGTGAATTTTTTCTTACTACAATTTTAGGCAGTCAACCTGATTTTTTTCTCATACAGTAAAGCAGGTACTAAATTTGCTACTTGCTACATGTACATATTTCAAACCCTGTTTCTTCCTATTCTTATTCTCTTTGATCCACAGACTGAAAGGGATAAACAATGAGTTAATCAATAATTGAAATAAAAAAATACATCAGAATTGTGGTCCCTTTGCCTCAAAGCAGTAATGCTGCAATAGCAAAACTGGGATGCAAAATGTTGGAACAATATCAATAATTTTAATTTAATTTTATTTTCATCATACAAGATTCTTTTCATCTCACATGAGTAGTAGAACAATATGATGACAATAACCAAATTTAATGGAAATTTATGGAGAATATCTTAACTACTCAGCAATGTAGATTCTCTATGAAACATTTAGGGATTACATAAGTCACATAAAAGTGATCTCTTCATTGATAAAGTTGTTTCACTACTGGCATATGTTTGAAGTTTTTCTCCTGAATATAATCTGCCATAAGATGATACATACCAGTCACTGCAGATTTGACAAAACATACACACATATGAATAATTCAACAATAAAATGACCAATCGTAGATGTGTAGTTTTGAAAATACAGCGCACACACACACACACACACACACACACACACACACACACACACACACACACACACACACACACATCTTGCATGGTTCTAAAATTGCAAAGGGATTCAGCCATGCATCTAAGTCTTCTACACACTTCTGCATGTTTGAGAACTGATGTGGTTTTGGGAAAATAATTGTTCACCAAATTTATTCAGTTTTCACTTACAAATTAAAAGATTAAGAACAAAACAAAAATATTTTTGAAGTCAGGGAAGTATACATTTCTTTGGCAATAATCAAAGTGCTTGTATCTTATTTTAAAACAAGTCAGACACACATTTTCATGCTTTAGTCACTTTATCTATCCTTACCTGACCATTCATGACTTCCAGGTATACTGGATGCTTGAATCTACCTATCTTCATTTCCAGAATTGCATCCTGTGGCATCACAGTAAAAGGGTCACTGACGACTGTCTCTTTTGCACAGTTGTTACCTAAAAGTTCATTTACTGCTTGACTGCATAATGATCAAATGATCAGCCAATCAAAATACTACAAACAAAACAAAACAAATCCAGTATGATTAATTAGCATTGTTTTAAATGACCTTGTTCTAATTGTATTTACTCAATCCAGATAATCACAGCCCTACTACCCTTTGATCTCAATCCACTGAGTGAATGCTTATGAAACTAATGAATGGTACTTAACAGACAAAAGGTGACAGTAATGACTGTTTAACTGTTTTAACTGATTATACTGATGATCAACTTCAACATAAGAGGTTGTATATGAAGCAAAACAATTGTGCTAATTTTGAGCATTCTGAGTTTGCCTTTAAACAAAATGTATATTAAAAGTCACTATGATTTTACCACTAAAGCTGTCAATGAGTCCCTGGGACAACAGTTGGGCAACTGCTTGTTCATAATTACCCACATAATAAAATTAGGCATAGGATACCCATTTAGTTCACATAAAAAAAAAACCCCAACATGTTGCAAGTTCAAATCAAAGATTATATCTGGCAATGACAGGCACAAAATAATAAGTACAGTTGGAGGCATATGTCACTATTGGCTGCTGTGCATTTATCCATCATAGAGCCCCATCTACTGATGTTATATTTTCAATGTGTTCGACCATTTGGCTATGTAAATTAGTTTCCTTATTTTCTATTTATAGCAACTGTACATGACATGTTTCCAAGAAAACAGAGGCTTCTTGAATTCGAAGCCATGTTTTATAGATCATTACAGATTGATTATAACACTTAATTATCAGACCTGTCCCCATTGAAAAAACGTGGCACCATATATTAAGTAAAATAGGCTTCATTGAAGTGACTTGCGGATGTTAAATGACT